TGGCGCCTCGCTGAAGACACGCCCCCTCTCCTGCGTCTCCCCTCCTCCCCGCCGCAGCTGCTAGCGGTCTCGTGCCATCCTCCCCCCATCGTCACATTGTGTACGCCGGGTGCCTCGGGCGCCGCCGCAGGTGTTGCAGGCCCTGCTGCCGCCGCAGTTGCCGTCGCCGCCGTTGCGACCCGCCGCTTACGTCGCCGCCTCGATTGCCGAGGGGTCGACCCGCTGGTAGACGCCACAGCTGCTGCAGAACATGGGGGTGCAAGGGCTTGGGGGTGTAGCGTGTGTGGTGTGCTAGCGCCTACCAAGCCTAGGGGGTGTGTCAACATTTATATATATATTATATATATATAGTTGTGTAGGCTTGTTAGATGTTCTACAAATGTGGATCCTACTGTAGAGGGTACAACACCCTTCTTGTATCTCTCTCTCTTCCTAGTCAACCCTCTTTTCTCTCGTCACTTTTCTCCCTAGCTAAAAACTCTCGCCATTCTCATGCCTAGCTAGCTTTGTAGCTCCTTATAACAGTCATAAGCGAGGAAACGGTTCGTCATAAATGTCAGGAAAAAAATTGACCCCATGGTCTTCTTAAAATTGCAGGAAAAGATATCAGGGTGGACATTAACGTGCATGGAAATTATTAGGACCCATGCTCACATATTTTCCACTTAAAGTCGTTGACCCAAATTGCATAAATTGCCTTTCAAGTTTATTAATCTTAAAACCCCCCGATTGGTAACCCAGTTCCCCAGAGCAAGAGCAAAAACGAAAGTCGCGCAACAAAACGACGGGAAACAGTTTATAATCTTGCGCCACCCCTAGCTGATTATGCCCTTGCCCCCCCCCACACTAGGCGTTTGAGCGGAAAGAAACATGAACTTCCCCCTATACATTTTGGGACTTTTTGAAGTGCAAACCCAGCCCAGCACCACTACGCCCTAGGCAGCGAAAGCACCATGCAAAGCACAAGTCAGTTTTTATTAGGGCGTGGTACATATCGTATCAAGTGAGGTACGCGACTTGAACTCGCAATAAAAAAAGCTTATAGAGCCTACTTGATCGCGTTGAAAACAGTCTAAACGTCTACAACCGCATCAGCTGTTCGAATTTCCGTTTGAAGACATACTCGTGATATGAGTTGTACCACGCCCTGATATGCGCAAGTCGAGTTGCTTGGCGATTCCAAGCGAGTTGCGCAACTCGGCCAGGATGCGCAACCCAGATTCATGTGCCCTTCCTTCCCGCGATTTCCGGTGTTCCTCGTTGTGTACTCCCCCCCCCTCCCCCCCTCGCCTAGCACGCCCCTCCTTCACCTTTTCTGCCTCACCCCTCCCCTTATGTCCTTTTTGATTGGCGGAGCATTTGCTTGTTCGATTTTTTGCCGCCCTGATTCGCACATGCTATTTCGTCATATATGTACTTGTCGCAATTTGGTGTTGCATCGTTCGCTCGTTGGCGCAGTACACTCGTCACCTCGCACCACAGCATAACACCCTTGCTCACTGCCTTACCCCACTTTTTGTCTGGTCATGTTTATTAATCTTACATGTTTTTGGCCACCGGCTTTAAGTGTCTATTGTTCTGGATGTACAGCCTTTCTACATAGGGAGTTATATTTGTACCGCGGAAATAGAATCCTCTTATCGTCATCTTTCTGTGCCACCAGAATGACACGTGTCAAATTTCCAGCAGCGACGGCTGCAAATTTTCGTGTGTTGGCGTGGCACGATGGCATCTTGAATGCCATCACCCATGCTACTAGAACGAGGGTCCAGTTACGGGGATCCTGCCATCCTGATTCCCCGCTTAGACCATTCCTGCTGCCAGCACCAACCTCACAGTAAAAACATAGGCAGTAGTTTTCATTATTACAGTGCAAAATCCTACAAGAAACATAGCAGGGGGGTCCTTAAATGTTAAATGCCAAAAAAGGGTCCTCACGGGGTTGCCAAGATAAATGATCCCTCCCCCGGTTAAAGTACCCATGAACTTTCTTACCGGCGGGTCCATTATCCGAGGGATTACAGTAAGTGAAGCGGGTAAACCCAAAACTCTTTTTGCAACAACCAGCTCCGCAATCCCTGCAAATTCTGCCCTTTTCATATGACGTGGCATTTCAACAGTTTTTGGACACTACGACAGTCGTCTATCTCTGCCGGAAAGTTTGTCGCTGACTGTAGTTGCATTCTTCGTCAATATTCGCACTTGCCCTTACCATTTGCTGACGGAAGAGGTGAACGAAGAGGCAATCGAGGTCAGCTTTGTTGATCAACATCCCACCGACATCAACAACTGAGACCAACGATCGATAGGAAAACCCTTTCAGATTCGGCAAAATTCACCTGAGTGGCGAGAGTGACACGTGTGTCGCACCACTTTAAACTGCCTTGAAACAACTCACGTCAAACTTGCACTGCACAGTGACGTGCGAGTCTGATGAGGGGCACTAGGGAGCCAAAAGTGTATCAGGGTAATGTTAAATTATATAGGTTATATATAATTATAGGCTTGGTAGGTATTACTAAAACCTAATGTAGAGGGTACAACCTCCTCTTTCCTAATCAAGAAACTCTTTCCTCTCGTAACTTTTTGGTCCCTTGCTAAACCCTCTCCTACTTTCATGGCTGCTTAGCGTCCTTAGTTTAACATGGTACCAGAGCAGGTTGCCGCTCACGGGCCTGCTCCCCACGCTTCCGCCGCGTACTCGCCCTCCTCTCGTCACGTCCGTGCCGCCTTGGCGGCCATGCCAAGCTGCCATGGCGGCTTCGTCGCGCTGCCATCGCAACCCCGACGCGCTGAGGTGGCGTCGACGCCACACCGTGGCGACGTCGTCGTGCTGCCGTGGCAGCGTCGACGTGCCGCCGCGGCATCGACGCCGCGCTGTGGCGGCGTCGTCATGCTGCCGTGGCGGCGTCGTCGGGCGGCAGCGGGCCGTGCAACGTTTTAGGTGCCGCCAGCTCGCCCGCACATCAGCCAGCGCCGTGTCAGCTACGGCGCCTTGCTAACGCCACGTCACCTCCCCTGCACCACCCCTAGTTCCAGCCGCAGATGCTAAGTCTCTTCCCGGTCGTCACCGGGCCGTGCCATGCCGCCGGGCGCCGCGAGTTTCGCCGTCGTCGCCGCCGTCGCTGCCGCCGTCGTCGACGCTGCCGCCGCCACCGCCGTCCCGCCGTCACCGTCGTTGACGCTGCCGCCGCCACCGCCGCCGCTGACGCCGTTGCCGCCACCCGCCAGGGGTGTCACCGCCTCGCACGAGGGGTAGCAGCCCCTCCTGCTGCAGGACCTGGGGGGTGCACGGGCTTGGGGGTGTTGGGTGGGCTTGAGACTACCAAGCCTAGGGGGTGTGTTAAATTATATAGGTTATATATAATTATAGACTTGGTAGCTGTCACTGAAACCGACTGTAAAGGGTACAACCCCCTCCTTGTATCCCTCTCTCTTCCTAATCAAGATACTCTTTCCTCTCGTAACTTTTGGTCCCTTGCTAAACGCTCTCCTACTTTCATGGCTGCCTAGCATCCTTAATTTAACATGTAGCCCAAATTGTACGCCTGACTTGTCAAGCTTGAAAATTTTTCGGCCTAAAAAAAAATGCCACTTCCAAACCCCGACACTGGAAACCATGGCCTGTTACAGGGATGACCCTGAGTCATCAGCCCTCCCAAAACCAATCTGAGGGCCTGGTTCCAACCTCTCGGCAGATTGCATATTGCATGTACGACTCCTTGCAACCCTCCGCCACATCCAGATGGCACAATCGGAATGGACTGCAGTGTGTGTGCACATTCCGTTAATCGAACATGCCTTTTGCACAATCTTTGAAACGTTGAAACTGGCTGACCAAAACACCACCAGCGAACTTCATTTGTCGAACGTACAGAATCCCAAGTCCCGGGCAGCCCGAGTTTCGGTTTCGTGCATTCTTGCTGCTTAGGAACTCCCAACATATGGGAATTGGTGTGAAACTGTTTCAGTCGCGCAAAAGCAGCCCATTGGCGTTTTGGGCTGACGGATTTTGCGGGTCTTAAAGCGAGGGTCTCAAGAAGCAAAAAACCAAACCCAAAGGTTTTGGTTTCGAGGGGTCGCGAAAATTGCGAGGTGTGGTGAGGGGTGTTGGGCGGTCGCTATTACTGTTTCACTCATTTCGTCAACCCGAAACCAAAACCTTTGGATTTGGTTTCGCGCTTCTTGAGATCCTCGCTTTAACATTGCTCAACCAACTTTCGCATTTGCGCAGCGCGCAAAAGTGACGCCCTCTGTAATAAACCGGAACCTCTCGTCATTTTGCAAACTGACGAGACGAGAATTTCGTAGGAATGCGCCCTAAGGACGTGCCAGAACTGAAATAACTGATGTGTGGCAGAATTGGGTGTGTTTTACCACTTGAAAGACGAATTGCTAAGGGTGGCAATGAGACTTTATATAGCCTTCAATTCCCTCTGAAAAATAAGGTTTGTCATTTTAGTGACCTGACCACTAAGCAGTGTTGCGGGTGATGCTTTTTGGGAACCTTCGCTCTCCAGCTTCTTTTGCGAATCGTGACGTGGCCTACTTCACTGTGACCATCCCAAGTTTCCCTCCACGTGGATCACATGAAGATTGCTGCCAGCGCAGCCGAGATGGAACGATGAGACACCGCCAGCGAGTCAGTCGCTTGCGTCGCTGGCGTCTTTTCCACCAGGCCAGCGCACCAAACGGGGCTGCCACGCTGACGCGCCGCGAAGTGGCCCAATCTCAAGAAATTTCGACGCGGAGGTTGTTCTGGCGATCACGTGTTACGTTTCGCCGACAATGTCGACCTCGTCGCACCTGCATTCAACGCGAAGTGAAGGCTCGGCGAATTCTTTATCGACATCACGAAATTTCCTTAGCGACCCTTCCGAAACAGGCACAAGCGACGTCACTACATGAGGCTTGATGTCAGCGGCGCGGCGCTGCATGTCGCGAATTTGCGTATATTTTCCCCTCGCCCTTCCCGCTGCACCATTATTGTTATCCCTGTGAATTCCTCTCCCTCCTGTTCTGCACCATTATTGTTTGTTCGTTTTTTCAGCTCTGCAGCTCAAATCCCCTCATGGTGCGACAAACCTTGGACGTTGAACTGCAAGCTGGCAACCACCAGAGCGAAGACGTCTCGAACAGATGGAAAAAGGGAGGCGACGCTGTGACTCCAGACTATCTTGAGTCGTATTCAGTCGCATTTACTCCGGAACCCATTTCGCCTATTTTAAGTAGCAGTAGGACTAGTAGTAGTGTTAATGGCGCGCCTGAACCGTCGATATCAGTTGCTTCGGTTCCGCAAGCCACGCGAAATAATGTGCGCACTGTCGAGAACGCGGTGGGAGTTGCAAGAATCAACTGGAACGACCAGCAAAAACGCATATTTTCGAAAGAAGAGAAGCAGATTGCTCAAAACAACGAGCAGGCGTTGCTCTCCGGGAACCGAGAAAGCGCCGGGATCCATGAAAACGAAGGTGGCGAAACCCTTCGTGAGAACGAAAAACGCGAGAACCGTCCAAATGACGACGACGACGTAGGGAAGCCGCTTTCATCCAAAACGAGAATACAGTTTTTGAACCCGAACCTACACTCGCTTCCACTTCCACTGGAAGCACCACCTCCATTAGAAGCACGGTCGAGTAAAGTGACCCTGATTCGCGATTCCGACGCGCTGCCGAAAAAAGGCGCTCAAAATTCCGCGGAAATCGAAGAGCTGGTCCCCGAGCTGGTACGCGGCGATGTCCCCGTTGCTGCTGCGCGCAAACCCCTTCGTGAGTCTTCCGCAAGCACTGCTGCGCGCAAGCCGCGTGGCACCGACTGTGGAGGCGACGAATTTTGCACTTTCCGCGCTGAAGACCCGCCACTGGCAGTCAGTACTGCTGTGACGACAGAGGCGGCACGACCGGCGGCGGGCAGCTTTGGGGATCCCCCGACGGAAGAACTACTTAAAGCGGCAGATGATGGCGACAAAAGTTGTCGCGTTGCGACGAGCGACAACGCTCGCAAAGCAGAGGACGACGGGAGAACGATTCGCAGCGCAGGGGGAGCTGGGACGGGGGCAAACGCCGGGACAACGGGATACGCCGGGGCAGATGGCGACGCCGCGGAGCGGGGGGCGGCGCAGGGCGGAGCAGCCGGGGAAGTACTAGCAGCGGAGAGTGGCGGAGCAGTGGAAGGCGGAGCGGTAGAGGGGGATTCCACGGCGGCGGAGATTGGGGAAGCGGAGGGCGGAGCAGAGGGGGGCGGGTCTTGGTGGGAAAGGGTTACTCGGGGGAGGATTGGGAAGCGGAGGGTGTCGACGGAAGTGTCACCGCCACGTGGCAGCAGCTCACTGGAGACTGTTTTCAACGGAGTCAACGTGCTCACAGGTGAGACACGTGGCGGGAAGGCCAGACCGTGTGCACTCATCCGCGCTGTGTGCGAGTGCGAACGCGAATACGGAACCTTCCCCGCCCTCCTCTTCCCTCTTCTCCCTCCCCTCCCCTCCTCTTCCCTCCTTTCCCCCCATTCCCCCCTCTCTCTGGCGTTAACACACACCCGTACGCCTATCTCTAGCCCGCTGCTTGGCTCCCTTCTTTCGCTCTCCCTTCTTTCTCTCCATCTCCCACCTCATTCTCCCCACCCACCACCCTTCGTTCCTCTCTCTCCAGGCATCGGCATTCTCACCACACCCTACGATCCCTCCCAAGCCGGCTCGTTGGCTCTGTTCCTCCTAACCTCGTCTATTTCCCCACCCCCCACCCCCCACCTTGCTCTCTCTCCCCCCCCCTCTCTCCAGGCATCGGCATTCTCACCACACCCTATGCTCTCTCCCAAGCCGGCTGGCTGGCCCTCCTCCTCCTCCCCCTCACCTCCCTCCTCTACCTCCTCACGGCCCGCTTCCTCCGCTCCTGCATGGACCACACCCCCACCACGGGACCCCACACGCCCATCACCACCTATCCTGACATCGGTGCCGCTGCATTCGGCCGTATCGGCGGCATACTCACATCCCTCTTACTCTACGGGGAGCTCTTTGCTGTTTCTATCGAATTGCTTATACTGGAGGGCGACAGCCTCGCCTATCTCTTCCCTTCCTTCGCCTCCAATGGGGTGCACATCGGTCCGTCGCTCCACCTCTCCCCAAATCAAATCTTTCTCATCGTGGCCGCCCTGATTGTGCTCCCGACTGTGTTCCTGCGCTCCATGTCGCTGCTGGCGTATGTGTCCGTGGGGGGGTTTCTGGCGGCACTCGTGACAGTCGTGGGCGTCGCATGGGTGGCAGCAGTAGGGTCAGATGATGGCAACCCAACAGCTTCTGCTGCAACGACTTCTGCTGCTGCTGCTGCAGCCGCGTCTGCTGGTGCAGCAGTGCATGGGAGTGCGGCGCTACTGCGGCTGCCAGGGGTGCCAGGCGCGTTGGGCATTTTTGGGTTCTGTTTTTCCGGGCATGCTGTCTTCCCCACCATATACCGCTCCATGGACAAGCCCCAGCACTACAACAGGGTAAGGCTGTTCTGCCAATTACACCTGGTGAAACTGTTGTAACCCCTAAAGTAGGATTTTGATTTGTGGGGCCTGCCATTTTCCCCACCATCTATCGCTCCATGGACAAGCCCCAGCACTAAAACAGGGTGAGTGGGACTGGTGTAGCCATTCAATTTTCAATTTGTGGCCATGCCACCCTCACCCCAAGTCACCCTCTTTGATTCCTCTTCACCTTCCTCCCCTCCTCCTTCAGGTCCTGATCACCCGTCTCTGCGTGTGCACGTGCATTTATGGAGAGATCACGTTTCTGGCCTTCTCCATGTATAGTGACACTCCAGCCGCCCAGATCACCTCCACTCTCTCTCATCTCGCCCATTCCACCCTTCCTTCAGGTCCTCATCATCTGTTTCTGCGTGTGCACGTGCATATGTGGATGTATCGCCATCCTAGGCTACCCAATGTACTGTGACACTAGAACTGCCCAAATCACCCTCCTTAACCCCTCCCATCGTCTCCCCCACTCCACCCTTCCTCCAGGTTCTCATCATCTGTTTCTGCCTGTGCACGTGCATATACGGGGGCATTGCCATCCTAGGCTACTCAATGTACGGCGACGCCACAGCCGCCCAGATCACCCTCAACCTGCCGCCCTCCCTCATCCCGTCTCGGGTCGTCCTGTGGACCACCATCATCTCGCCCATCACCAAGTTTGCCATCACCATCACGCCAGTCGCTGTGGCCATCGAATCCTTCCTCTCCTCTTTCCTTGACAAGTGGTCACCTCCTAGCCTGGCCTCTTGTACGCCTTACTGCATGACTCAGTTCACGCATAGAGCATGCAACTGCACACCACACCCACTTTCCTGGGTCACGAAATGCGGGGTTAGTGGCAAGACGGCCGCTTCCTTGGCTATACGGACCCTGCTGGTGGTGCTGGCAGCATTGGCAGGGTTGCTGCTGCCGTTCTTTGCGCTCATGATGACCTTGATAGGCTCAGTGCTTAGCATATCCATCTCCCTGCTGCTGCCCACTGCATGCCACCTTAGCATCAAGTGGCGCCAGCTGTCGCGGGTGTCAGTTGTGTGCCACGTGGCGATACTCGTGGGAGGGACAGCCACTGCTGTTATGGGAACGGTTTATGCTGTGAAGGGGATTGCTGCTGGTGGTGGATCACACTGAGGATGCAATTGCAGCAGCAACAGCAGCTGCTGAAACTTTTAGTCGGCTTTTGCTTGATGAAGGGCTTATTCCGCAGTTGGAAGAATACATTAGCTCTTGCGTGAGTGTTACAAGGGGATGTCGTAGCTTGCTGACTGGAGAATTTTATTGCTTTTGTGCATTATTTGTTTTGTCTTAATTCCATTGTTTCCTTGATTATTTTAAACCTGTGTATCATTATCAAAAGAGGATGGTGATGGGAAGTGGAAAGAGCGGATCTTTAGGCGCATTATGGATGGTAAAATAGAGAACATGTTTTGCATTAGGCAAACGTATATGACCAGTGTCTCTAGAAATGGGTGACCAGTGTAAACGTGTGTCAGGCTTATTGTTGTCTCGGGGATGGAATATCATTGACATGTAGTCTGCCTCCACGCGGGCCGCGATTTCAGCCCACCGTCAGCCACCGCCAGTTTGAGCCAAGCGGAGCAGAATTCAAGCGCATCGCCACCAACGAAGGTCTCTGCCGGCCGGTCTGTTACAAGCTAGGTTCCTTTGCTTGTGTACGCGAATTCAAGCGCGTCGCCACCACGGAAAGTTACATCGCGAAGTCGCATGCACCGCTTCCCGCGCCGCATGTCGGTCTGTGTTGACGCGCTCCCAGCCCCCATTTCACCTATATATTCTGTTTTCGTGCTCTACCTTTTTATCGAACTCATTCCACAATCAGCTTCAGCTCACTGTCACCCAATCTCCGTTTTCAATCGAAGCCTCATTCATTCGCCCCAGATTTTCGCCATCAATACACAGTCCTCCACCCGATCACCTTCGAGAACTCCCACCAGGGCCGATTTCTCCGTACGATCGTGCACCTCTCGCCTAGAAATGGCCTGCTCGCGGTTCATTCCGCTCCTGCTCTGCATCGTGCTGTGCGCCGCTGCTACCGCGCACGCGCAAGCGCCAGCGAACCCAACCAAAGCGCAAATAAAGGCGGAGCTGCAGAACATGGCGAACACCATCACCAAGAACTACCCGCAGTACGCGAAATACGCCAAGGATGTCAACAAATACATCGGCCTCGCACGTAAGTACTCCGTTCTCTATTTATTTGCGTTCCCTCAGCTTTCAACTGACTTGCTCTCGCCAGCGGGATCTCCGACCTTCAGAGCGTCTCTGCGAGTCGATATACCGTCCTAGCCATGCCCTTCCTAGCTGTGCCCTTCCTAGCCGTGCCCTTCCTAGCCGTGCCCTTCCTAGCCGTGCCCTTCCTAGCCGTGCCCTTCCTAGCCGTGCCCTTCCTAGCCGTGCCCTTCCTAGCCGTGCCCTTCCTAGCCGTGCCCTTCCTAGCCGTTCCCTTTCTAGCCGTGCCCTTCCTAGCCGTGCCCGTCAGATTTCTACGGTCCTTTTGGTTACGATCGTAGTCACATTCGCGCTCAGGCCACCCTCTCCCTCTCCCCACCTCCAGTGAATTCCAAGTACGATTTCACGGCGCTCAGCGACGCGACCCTCCTGCTCCCCAGCGACGCAGAAGCAACTGCCCTCGCTAAGAAGGTCCCCGCTAAGAGCTCCAACATCCCCAAGATCTACAACATGACGGCGTATCACATCATCCGCAAGAAGTACACTGTTCCCGCGCTCCAAGTGCTCAAGAAGTCCCAGCCGCTGGGCACTCAGCTGAAGCAGGCGATCTACAAGGTTTCGCAGCAGAATGGTAACGTTGTGTCATTCGCCAAGACGCCCAACGCGCCCCCTGCCACGTGGACGACGATCAAGATCGTCCGGCTGTACGCTGGGCCCTACTTCATCGCCCACGGCGTGGATAAAGTCCTGATTCCCACTAACACCAAGGTGTAAAAACTTCAGGCGTCCAAAATATCCCAGATATAGGCTGACGAGTTTCCCCAGCGGTCCCTGTTGACAGTCAGTCATGCTGCCGGTTCAACCTCGGAACTAGAGGTGACTGGAAGTCAACTAGGCACCAGGGCAGATCCTCCAAGGACCTCGTGATACAGTTTTGTAGTATAGGTTGCAATCTCTCCAATATCTAAATATGTCTACCTTCAATATACAGCTTATACTTATAAACATTCAGAATAAGGTTTATTGCTGCCGCTGCTGAGCTGCTGCCACTAGTTGACGTCGGCATGCGAAAGAGCACGCGCACATGCGGGATTGCCTCACTCGCTTGCGTGCACTTCTTTTGCCTCCCAGGGAGGTTTTCAGGCTGAGCATTGTTTTGTTGGGCAAGAGACCAGTGCGGTGCGGGTTGGTATCAGGCAGAGGATAATCCTTGTCTCGTATTCTCCCTCTGATTACACCTGCTCTCCTGCTCCTCCCTCCCTTCCCCAGCCAATACCCCTAACGGCATGAACCCTTCCCCGCACACACACCACACCACCCAGCTGTCTGCTGCACTGAGATGCTGGTCGTCTGCTTGCTTGTTGCCCATCCATGTGTCTCTGCCATGCCCCGTGGTAGCTCTTCTGCTGCCAGCACACCCCCTGGCCGTCTGTCGCATGGAAATGCTTGTCGGAACGAACACCCCACCCATGCCCCTCTGCCACGCCCCTCTGCTACACCTCTCCCCACCTCACTGCACCACAGGAGGCACAGGTGGTAACCAGAGCTCCACTCGTGTCCCGCCGTAACCATTGGGGGCGTTGATCAGATGCGGCGATTGCACCCGCATCACTGCTCCCACCGCCTCTGCCACTCCCCGTGCCAGCTCTATTGCTGCCAGCGCATCAGCGGCTCGTGAGAGCTTGCCAGGTGGCAGGTTGGTAGAGGAGGAGGATGCCAGGCTGGCGGACTGGAGGGGGGAGGTTGGGTTGGCAAGGATGAGGACACGCAACGAAGGCGAAAGTCGCAGTGGGTGTTTCGTAGAAGTATACTGGGAGAAACCCATCTTCATGCTTGGCAATGAAAGGCAAGAGAGAGGCAGGGGAGAGAGCCAGTAGCAGTGGTTCTGTCGTATAGCACACTGGGAGAGAATGAATGCATGACGTGTCGTCACATTTTGAGAATGACGCCTCAAAACTAGACTCCTATCACGAAGCTCACTGGGAGAGAATGAATTCATTCATTCATGCACTGAATTCATTCATTCATGCACTGAATGCATTCATTCATGCACTGAATTCATTCATTCATGCACTGAATGCATTCATTCATGCACTGAATTCATTCATTCATGCACTGAATTCATTCATTCATGCACTGAATTCATTCATTCATGCACTGAATTCATTCATTCATGCACTGAATTCATTCATTCATGCACGGAATTCATTCATTCATGCACTGAATTCATTCATTCATGCACTGAATTCATTAATTCATGCACTGAATTCATTCATTCATGCACTGAATTCATTCATTCATGCACTGAATTCATTCATTCATGCACTGAATGCATGACGTGTCGTCACCCATAGCAATGAGAGTATGCAATACGAAGGTTCTGTGCATGTGCATGAGAGTGCACGCGCAACCATCCCTGAACCCGCTACCTTTAACCCAAACGTACCAAGTAGTGCAATTTTCCGCCCTAAACCTGCAACTCCCCCACCGGAAAGTGAAGTCTCACTTCACTGTCTTTCACCAGCAGCAGCACGCCCCCTCCCGGAGGTGCCCCCTATAAGAGCGCATGCAGCCGCAGAAGTCACCAGGCCACGCCTGCCTGAACCAAGTGCAACACATTGGAATCACCAGGTAACGCACGCCCACGCCACTGTACTCCACCAGCAGCAGCACGCGCCCTCCTGATACCGTCTGCCAGTGCACAAGCACGCACTGCACTGACCAGGACAATGCAGCGTCGACCCCCAAGTCCTGAGCCCTCGTACTGAACACAACCTCATACTCACTAGATAATGCACGCCCACGCCACTATTCTCCACCAGCGGCAGCAGCACGCCCCCTACTGGTCCCCTCTGTCAGGTGCGCATGCACCCACCCGGACCCGCTGGGCCTAACTCTAAACCAACCAAGAAGTTCGGTTCTCGACCCTTAACCATACACTCACCAGATAATGCACGCCCACGCCACTGTCCTCCACCAGCAGCAACACGCCCCCACCCGGCGCCCTCTGCCAGTGCACGTGCACCCACCCGCCCCCCTCTGTGGCCCTCAGGGCCGCATCCAGCACCCCCTGCAGCAGCCGCCGAATATCGTCCTCATGACCCAGCACCACCAATAAATGCTCCTCCTCCCCTCCCCCCCTCTCCTCCCCCTCCTCCTCCTCCTCCTCCTCATGCCCCTGCCCCTGCCCCTGTTGCCCTCTCACCTCCGCCCCACCACTGCTTCGCTCCATCGCCTCTACTGCCACCAGACGCCCTTCGCCCTCCTTGTACCTCGTGGCATCAGGCGCCTCCTGACTCCCTCCCCCCACTCTCACAACACTCCTTTCTGCCTCTACTGCCATCGCATCCCCTTCTGCCCCCATCCCCACCAAGTATCTCTCCAGCATGGCTTCATACATGATCTCATCCTCCACTCTCCCTCCTACTTTTCCACCGTCACCCATGCTCCTCAATCCCCCGTCTCCATCCCCTCCAATTCCCTCCACGCTGCTGCTACTTGCTCCCTCCACCCCCACCACGTATCTCTCCAGCATGGCTTCATACATCGCCTCATCATCGTCCTCTCTCCCTCCAACATCATTACCACCACTGCTCAACCCGCCACCCCCACCCCCACCATCGGTGTATATCTCACTGCTGCTGCCTGTCGCACTCTCCATCCACCCCTTGCCCTCCCTCTCACTCTTCCTCTCCCCCTCTCTCTCCCTCCCCTCCTCTCTCTCCATCCCCATCCGCCGCATATCTCTAACTGCCCCCTCACTCGCAGTGACACCGACACCCAGTCTACTGGGCACAGCAGCGTCGCCAGCCGCTGCGCCTCCCTTACTGTGGCCCTGTTGTCAGGCCGGTCGGCTGTGCCACTGTTATACGCGGGGTCAAACGTGCCACTGATGTAAGGCTGTTTGCTCGTGGAAGTTCCGTAGCTCACTGTAAAGTGGATCTCGCAGGCAACAGCCAGGGAGGAGGCGGCGTCCAGCAGCGGGAGCAGCACGCGGTGCACGGTACAGGTGTGTAGAGAGCTGGGATGGGTGGAGGGTAGAGAGGAAGGGAAGGGAAGGGAAGGCACAAACGAAGGGAACAGTCAGTATAAGAAGAGGATCTCACAGGCAGCTGCCAGGGAGAGGTGGCGTCAAGCAATGGGAGCAGCACTCAATGCACGGAGCAGGTGGGGGGAGGGCTGGATGGTGTGGGAGAGAGAGGAAGGGAAGGCACGGGCAAAGGGAACAAGCAACATGAGATGAGAAGCCAATGAGGCAAGCAGCTGCGAGGGAAAAAGCGGCGTCCAGCAGACGGAGCAGCACCCGGTGGACGCTGCAGGTTGGGGGGGCACTGGGATGGTGGGGGGGTGGTGGGAGAATGGTTGATGGGGGGATGGTGGGGGAATGGTGGGGTTGTGGTGGGGGGACGGTGGGGAAGTGGGTTTAGGAGGGCGAAGGACGGTTGGCCCATCTGTCGGCACACCAGCATGGTTGACTCACCTGCCAAAGGACTGCGCCCGCGCCTCTCGAGGCACAGCAAAGGCCGACAGCCCGAAGCAGCCTGGGCGGGCCCAGCAGATAGCACACCCAGCATTTGGGGGTTGGCAGCGGAATCGGACAGAGAGTTGGCAGCAGGGGGGGCGGGCAGAAGGAGGGGGGGCATGGGGAGCTCAGTGTCCGCCAGAGGGGGGAGGAGGAGGGGCGTGCGGCGGGGAGGGGGGGCAGGGAGGATGGGCTGGTTTGGAGGCATGGAGGAGGGGAAGGAGGAGAAGGTCGGGGAGGGGGTGGTGGTGAAGGGGGTTGCTGAACCGCCCCCCACTGCTCCCTCTGCTGCGGCTGCTACCGGTGGGTGTGGCAGGGGGTAGAGCGCGCGCTGCAGCTGTGAGAGCACGTCGCCTATCTCGTCGCCCTGGGAGACCATGCCTTGTACGAGGTCAGAGCCCAGCTGGAGGGGGGAGGAGTGTAGGGAGGGAGGGGAGTACGGGCGGGGAATAGACGTGTTCGACGAGCCACTTCCATGAGAGCACGTAGCGTCGCCTATCTCGTCGCCCTGGAAGACCATGCCCTGGACCAGGTCACCAGGTCAGAGCCCAGCTGAAGAATGGGGAAAAGTTGGAGGGGGGGGTAGGAAGAAAATTTAGGCAAATAATTTTCCTGGGATTGAAAATTAGCAGCCATCTCCATTCAAGCTTGCTGTCTAACTCGTCGCCCTGAGAGACCATGCCCTGGACCAAGTCGGAGCCCAGCTGAAGGATGGGGTGTGGGGGGGGGGGGGGATCGGCAGGGAGAATGAGCATTCAAGCCACCATCTACACTCTTCGACGTGCGATGCCATGCACTGGGCTCAGGAATGCTTCCATCTATATTCATGCACTGCAGTAGGTCAGTCAGAGCCCAGTTGCAGGCAGAGAGGGGAGTGTGGGAAGAAGAGTGGTGTTGAGGAAGAGTTTGCAGTTGAGTAGATAACGTCAAGTTCCCCTTTGAGACATGCCACTCATTGGTCAAACTCACACCTCCGCGCCCCACCCATCCGCGCCCCACCCATCCGCGCCCCACCCATCCGCGCCCCACCCATTCGCCCCACCCATCCGCGCCCCACCCGTCCGCCCCACCCATCCGCGCCCCACCCATCCGCGCCCCACCCATTCGCCCCACCCATCCGTGCCCCACCCATCCGCCCCACCCATCCGCGCCCCCACTCTAATCATGCCTCTGCCTTCGCCACTTGCCACAGCATCCACCCACCCCTCCCAGCCGTGTTCCCCTCACCCCACCCACCCCTCTCCCCTCTCCCCTCTCCACCAACCACCACTACTGCCACCCACCCACCCCTCACTTTTGCCCTCATGCCTGTCTAAAATTCTCAGAAATATCTCCCAGGGACTTGTGCGATGGCACACATGCATCCTCTCTCCCCCCACACCCCACCCACCCACCCACCCCTCACCTCTGTCTTGGCTACTTGTGGCAGGAACCTTGGGCCCAGCGTGCACCCAGTCCGAGCCATCCCTGACTCGCCTCTGTCTTTGCCACTTGCGGAATGAGCATTCGTCCCAGCATGCGGAGAGCGCCACTAACTGACACCCACCCGCCCTTCATCGTAAGAAAACACCTGTGCCACCCATGCCACCCATGCCACCCATGCCAATCACCCCTCGCTCCCACCCGCCCCTCACCTCCGTCTTTGCCACTTGCGGCATGAGCATTCGTCCCAGCGTGCGGAGAGCAGAGAGGGGAGCGCGCATCTGACCAGGTAAACGATGTGTGTTTGGGAGACGGGAATGAGGAAAGGGAGAGAGTGTTTAAACAAGCACTAATAACGAGCATTATAGCTGTTGCTTCCGAAGTTGCTGCCACGTATCGACACAATGGCACCTCCAAGGTGTTCCATCGAGGGAAGCGCGCATCTGAGGAGGTTAACGATGTATGTATGGTAGGAGGGGAGGGGGAAGAGAGGGAGTGGCGGAACGACGAGTCGTGAGTCGATTGTGGCATGAGTCGAGAGTCGTGAGTCGTGAGTCGATTGTGGCATGAGCAAGCGTCCTAGCATGCGCAGAACAGAGAGGGGAGCGCGCATCCGACCATTCATGCGGTGCGGTGTGCTCGAGGTGACTTTTGAGTCGACTCAAAAGGCGCATCCGACCATTCATGCGGTGCGGTGTGCTCGAGCAGGGGGGGTGGGGGAAGGGGGAGAGACGAGGAAGCGGGGGAGTGGGGAAGGAGCGGGGAGGGGGCCATGAGTCGGTCATGGCATGATCTTTTGCCCCTGTATGCCGAGCGCTGGGCAGCCTGGGAGAGTGGAACGCGGTGGGGGGAGCACATGGCAACATCACCTCAGCGCATACTTTCCGTCGCCACAGACAAGGCCACCGGCTCACCTGGTCCAGCAGCGAGTCGATGGTGACGGTGCGCAGCGCTGACCTGGTCCTACTGTCTGGTGTTGTTGAGGCAAGAAGGGGCCCGAAGGGGCACACAGCCAGAGCAGATCAGAGCAGCTGTGGTCCGGGGCATGCATCTGGTGCACACACACACATACAAACACAAGCCATGCGGCTCACCTGGTCCAGCAGCGAGTCGATGGTAACAGTGCGCTGCCACAGTGACTGCTGCATCATCCACGCCCTCTGATGACGTGGCAGGGGGGGGCAGCAGGTGGCAAGGGGTGGGGGCAGAAGTGGAAGAGCGAAAAGAGCATCAGGAGACACGTGAGGGGAGGGCAAGGAGGTGGGAGAAAGGACAGCAGCAACAGGATTGCACTTGGCACAGAACGAGTGTGCAGCAACCGATGTTGCCAGCCAGCCCAGAACGAATCTTACCGTCGCGCCCTCGTCAAACTCAACATGGCACGTCGTTACGGCTGCTTGACAACAGGTTTCGCGATTGCCCGACACCAAGTGCTGACACGAACTTCCTAATACACGATCACCATACGTAAGACACCCACCCTGTATGAACTCCCCCACATACTCACACACACACCGCCGCCTCACATACCCCCACCACACACACACCCGCACATACCCCCGCACACACCCCCACACACACCCCCACACACACCCCCGCACATACCCCCGTACATACTCCCACACATACTCCCACACTTACTACCACGCATACAGCCACACATACCCCCCCACATACTCGGCATGAGCAAAAGGCCCCGATGGGCTAGGCCAACCGAATCTCTGACCTCAACCCGCTGCATGTCAAAGTTCTCATAGTTGTTTCACATGTGGCGCATTTGACATGCGCATCTAGTGTAGTGGTATCATAGTACCCTCCCACGGTACTGACCGGGGTTCGATTCCCCGGATGCGCACTTTTTTGTTTTGGTCATCCTTTTTCGGATTCCCGTACATACCTCCACATTCTTCCCCCACCTAACATATGTTATTAATGACCTCACCTGCGCCATGACACATGCCAGAACAAGGGAGTGCAACACACTCCCACTGCTGCTCGCTGCTCCTCCTCCTCATACGGCTTCAGCTGCACCCACTCCACCTGCTGCCCCTTCACCCATACTCTTTGCCCCACCTGTTTATCAGCTCACCTGTTCCATCACGTATGCGAGTGCAAGGGAGCGTGCCACCCCCACTGCTGCCCGCTGCTCCTCCTCCTCATACGGCTTCAGCTGCACCCACTCCACCTGCTGCCCCTTCACCCTTACTCTTTGCCCCACCTGTTTATCGGCTCACCTGTTCCATCACGTATGCGAGCGCAAGGGAGCGTGCCACCCCCACTGCTGCCCGCTGCTCCTCCTCCTCATACAGCTTCAGCTGCACCCACTCCACCTGCTGCCCCTTCACCCTTACTCTTTGCCCCACCTGTTTATCGGCTCACCTGTTCCATCACGTATGCGAGCGCAAGGGAGCGTGCCACCCCCACTGCTGCCCGTTGCTCCTCCTCCTCATACGGCTTCAGCTGCACCCACTCCACGTGCTGCCCCTTCACCCTTACTCTTTGCCCCACCTGTTTATCGGCTCACCTGTTCCATCACGTATGTGAGCGCAAGGGAGCGTGCCACCCCCACTGCTGCTCGCTGCTCCTCCTCCTCATATGGCTTCAGCTGCACCCACTCCACCCGCCCTCCCTTCACGCTTACTCCTAGCCCCACCTGTTCACCAGCTCACCTGTTCCATGACATATGCAAGAGCAAGGGAGCGTGCCACCCCCACTGCTGCCCGCTGCTCCTCCTCCTCATACGGCTTCAGCTGCACCCACTCCACCTGCTGCCCCTTCACCTCCCCACCCTCCTCCCCACCCACCTCCCTCTCCCTCCTTTCTCTCGTCCCCTCACCTTGACCCTGCTGCCCTCCACCCTCATTCGCAGCCCTCCACTTGATCTCGACCCTCTTCACTTCATCCTCCACTCTCTTTCCCCCTCTCCCACCTTCCCCTTTCCTCTCTGGTCGTCTCAGCACCCACTGCTGCAGTCTACCCACTGCGCCTACACCTCTTGAGCTATCTCTGGATGTTTCTCCTCCTGCCCTCTCCCCTCCGCTCCTTCCTGCATCCGGTCGATCCCTCTTTCTGCCAGCAACGCCAGCCGCCTCGCCTTGCTCTTTGCCTGTTACTGGGTCTGCAGGTGGTAACCAGCAGGAATAGGGGCATGGGTGGTAACCAGCAGTGGGTTCGAGGTTACATGTAACATTGACTAAGAAGACAGGGTCTGCTCCCAACAGGGCAGCAGGCAGGCAGCACAGAGCCAAGCTGGGCTCGTTTATGCACCTCAAAATCAAATGCTCCCACAGGGCAACAGGCAAGCAGGCAGGCAGGCAGGCAGGCGGGCGGGTGGGCGGGCGGGCGGGCAAGCAGGCAGGCAGGCAGCACACATAGCTAAGCTGGGCTTGAACCTTCACAGAAGTGCAGAATGGCAACCCACTTGAGGCACGTGAGTGATGTGGGGGTGGGTGTGGGGGTGGGGATGGGGGGGTGTGTGGGTGGGGGGGTGGGGGTGGGGGTGGATGTGGGTGTGGGGAAGTGAGTGGAGGTGTGGGTGGATGAGTGAGTGTGGTGGGATCAGCAAAACTTCCTGACACTGTGGGTGGTGGCAGCTGCTCTTCGCGGTGCAGTGGCAGCAGGCCGAGGAGAGGGATGTGCCGAATGAGTCTATTTTTGAGTCGATTCAAAAATAACCGAGGAGAGGGAAGTGCCGAATGAGTCTATTTTTTAGTCGACTCAAAAATAACCATGCAGCAGTATGTGCCAAATGAGTCTATTTTTTAGTCGCCTCTAAAATAACCGAGGAGAGGGATGTGCCGAATGAGTCTATTTTTAAGTCGATTCAAAAATAACCGAGGAGAGGGAAGTGCCGAATGAGTCTATTTTTTAGTCGACTCAAAAATAACCATGCAGCAGTATGTGCCAAATGAGTCTATTTTTTAGTCGCCTCTAAAATAACCGAGGAGAGGGATGTGCCGAATGAGTCTATTTTTAAGTCGACTCAAAAATAGCCGAGGAGAGGGATGTGCTGAATGAGTCTATTTTTTAGTCGACTCAAAAATAGCCTAGGAGAGGGATGTGCTGAATGAGTCAATTTTTGAATCGACTCAAAAATAGCCGAGGAGAGGGATGTGCCGAATGAGTCTATTTTTGAGTCGACTCAAAAATAGCCGAGGAGAGGGATGTGCCGAATGAGCCTATTTTTGAGTCGACTTAAAAAATAGCCGAGGAGAGGGATGTGCCGAATGAGTCTATTTTTGAGCCGACTCAAAAATAGCCGAGAAGAGAGATGTGCCGAATGAGTCTATTCTTGAGCCAACTAAAAAATAGCCGAGGAGAGGGATGTGCCGAATGAGTCTATTTTTGAGTCGACTCAAAAGTAGCCGAGGAGAGGGATGTGCCGAATGAGTCTTTTAATTAGTCGACTAAAAAAAAGCCGAGGAGAGGGATGTGCCGAATGAGTCTATTTTTTAGTCGACTAAAAAATAGCCAAGGAGAGGGATGTGCCGAATGAGTCTATTTTTGAGTCGACTTAAAAAATAGCCGAGGAGAGGGATGTGCCGAATGAGACTATTTTTGAGTGCAGCGGCAGCAGGCCGAGGAGAGGGATGTGCCGAATGAGACTATTTTTTAGGTGCAGCGGCAGCAGGCCGAGGAGAGGGATGTGCCGACAGGCAACACGCATGTGCAATGCAAGTCGGGTACGTACCCCCATCCCCAACACACTGGTGAGCGGCACCTGCAGCACTTGTATGTACCTGACACCGGGGATGGTGACGGCTGCTCTTCGCGGTGCAGCACCAGCAGGCCGAGGAGGAACGAGTCTCTTGTGAGTGCCACCACCAGCGCCCCCTCGCTCTCCAGAGAGAGCACCTGTTGAGCAGGATCGCAAGGGGAGTAACAGATGATTGGGAAATGGACGCATGCAGCCAGTGCAGCACCAGCAGGACAAGCAGAAACGAGTCTCTTGTGAGTGCCACCACCAGCGCCCCCTCGCTCTCCAGAGAGAGCACCTGTTGACCAAGATGGCAAGGGGAGGATTAACCGATAACTGCGAAATGGATGCATGCAGTCAGCGCAGCACCAGCAGGCCGAGCCGAGCAGCGACTCCCTTGTGAGAGAGAGGCATCAACAGTGCTCCCTCACACTCAGGCGGGATCATCTGCTGCTCTTATTTGCTCCTGGAGACTCTTGAGTCGACTCTATTTTCTAGGCGTCTATTCCTGAGGCGCCTCAAAAATAGACCCCCTCGCACTCAAGCGAGATCATCTGCTGCTCTTCTTTGCTCCAGGAGACTCTTGAGTCGACTCAAAAGTCTTCTCTTCTTTGCACCAGGAAACGAGTTCCAATGATGGGCCTGTTTACCACCAAATCTTCCCACCAATCGCTGTTGAGCAAATGCAATACATGGTTCAAAGGAAGGAAGGCAAGATAAGCACAGAAAGGGTGCTTGATAAGCACAACATGCCATATAGTACTGCAATATACTATGCAATCGACCTAAGTATGCTCACCTCTTTCTGTACAAGCACAGCTTCTATTGAAGGTGGCAACTTTGCAATGGGCGGCTCGTTCCCCTTGTCCTCCCCTTCCTCCTCCTCTTCCTCCTCACTCGCCGCTCTCACTCCTCCCACCTCCTCTTCCCTTCCTCCCATCATCTCTCTCTCTCCTCCCATCCCCCTCTCCTCCTCCTCGGTACTCTGTGAGCCACGGTAAACTGCCCTGTCTCGAGCCCCGGGCAGCCTTCGCACCACTCGAAACAATTCGATCTGCCCGGAGAGGAAACTCTCTGGTGTGCGAAGATAGAGCTGGGGGAGTGGACGGACCGGAAGAAGGAAGTACAGTGTTGCCGGGCAAAAATGAGGGGTTGCGCACTATGTTACAAGGTCCTGTGGTTGCGAAGATACACAGATGCAGGCAGTAGGAGCACGAAGAGCGTTTGAGCTTGTATAGAGGAACGCAGACAGCAGGAGGGGGAGGTCCGAGTTTGCAGGGTATTATTGAGAATTCTAAAAAATACCCTGCGAGTGCTAAAAGCTTTGGGACGTCTCAAAACTCGATCGATTTTGAAGCGTCTCAAAGCATCTAGTGACCTTTTTTCTGCCACGCTCTCTCACGCCTTTTTTAAAATGAACAAACGAGCAAAAAAAAACCATGAGTGAGCAGCATGACATGCGCTCAGCACGCTCGCTCCACAGCCACTTTGCATACCATCATCACCCCTCAGCAACACCATCACCCCTCACCACCACCACCACCCCTCACCACTACCCCTCACCACCACCACCACCCCTAACCCCCATCTCGTACAGTGATTCTGGTCGGCTGAGCGCCGCAACACCGCAGAGCAACCTCCAGCACATCCAGCTGCGCGTGACATAGGGCGAGGACGTTCTTCTATGGTGTGCACTGTGCACCACTGCACTGGTTACACTCACAGTGATTCTAGTGGGCTGAGCGCCGCAACACCGCAGCGCAACCCCCAGCACATCCAGCTGCGCGTGACATAGGGCGAGGAAGTCCGCGCTTGGCGACCCAAGAGGAGGCTGCTCTTCGGCCGCTTGAGACTGCCCCGCCTCTCCCTGGAACCACCCTTGACTTGCTTGACTCCCTTGACTTGTTTGCTCGCCTTGAGACCAGCCTTGACTAGTTTGACTCCCTTGACTCCCTTGTCTAGCTTGTTCTCCCTCGAACCAGCCTTGACGTTCCTGTCCGCCTTGGAACCATCCATCGCTGCTTTGACTTGCTTGACTTGTTTGACTGCCCCGGGACGATGAGTCTTGACTCCATAAATCCGGCTCTATCTCCCCACTGCCACTGCTCCTGCTCCCACTGCTTCTCCCATCGCTGCCCTCATTCTCACTATCAGTCTCACTAGAGTATCCAAACCCGCTATTAGCATCTGTCCTATCCCCTCCCTTCGCAGTGCTCTTTCCGCCAACCTCCCCCTTCGCGCCTTCCCCTCGCCGCGCTTCCCCTGCCGCCTCGATCTGCGTCTCCGCTTCCGCCTCCCCCTTCCCCTGCCCGCCGCGCATGGACGCGGAAGCGACCCCCAGCGCCGTCGCAATCGCCCACGCGGCCTGTGCAATGTCCACGTCAATGTCGCCCAGCCCGCCGCCGCCGCCCAGAATCGCACGCGGCGACTCTATCCTCAACCCCTCCCCCACCTCCCTGCTCCTTCTTGCGCCGATTTTCCCCGTTTGGGCGGCTCTTCCACCGAGCAGCGCGCGCGCGACGAGCGGGCGCCAATCGCCGCGCATTTCGCCGTCCCGACACCCCACCGGGCAAATAGGGCCCGTCCCCCGTTGCACGGCTCTAACGCAGAGCACATTGCCACCGAAATCGCTACCTCTATTATAAGACCTACTAGAGTTCGCGCCCAAAATGCCAGCACTGCTAACTAGAACGGTATGAGATTTCACGGCTGCAGCGGCACGGCCGAATAGAGGCCGTGGACACGCGGAGCCGGCCTCCATAGCTGAGAGAGGAGAGACTGAGAACTACTAAGTAAACTCACTAAGGATGGCTGTACACTAACGCGGATACCTATCTACGGCTCGATGCTTGGGGGCTGCAGTGGCACGGCCAGGAAGAGCCTGCGGAACACTACCAGCCGGCTTCCGTAGCACAGGGATTACAGACACTCAGGCTCGGCAGGGATTATGCTAAGTGTTCTGCCACGGACCCTTCTATAACGCGGATATTACCAATTACTGGCATCTGATGAGGTGTAACCGAGCATGCGTTGTCTGTCCCAAACGCAGCCATGTGTTGAAGAAAGCGTGTGCTGCAAGCAATCACTACAACGTGGAGTCGGCGAATTACCAGGGGTGGTGCGTCTAGATTCCTGTGGAATCTAGCCAAGGAAATTGTGGAGGAGAAGCTGGAGGGAGAGTCACAAGCAGGGCTAGGCCTTATAACGCGAGGGAGTTATAGAAGCGAGGGACCTCAGAAATGCGGAGCGATGACGTGGCGATGAGGTGGGCGCGTTGGGGAGTGCGGTGCTGCCACGCGACAAACACAATTACTCTCTAATGCTCGAGCGACTCGTCACGTACTGTGATCAGTGCGTTATCACATTGATCAATACATAAAGAGTACACTTGTCATGAGGTGAGAGAGCCTTTTGAAAAGGTCAGTGCAACTAATAGATGCATAAGAATACTATGTTTGTGTGGTTGGTGCCGTCGCTCCAGGCTGTCCTTTTAAAATTATCATAGAACCTCATGAGCCTTGCCATAATACCGATTGATATAGCTTGCCTGCACGATTCACAAGGGCAAAAAAAAAGTGAACAAAAGATAGCAAAATTAAAGTACCACTCGGAAAAGTACGTCGTTAACCCAAGACCATGAAATGCAGACAAATGTAACCAAGATACGACCAATGACAGCACATACCTTGAACTCAGAAATATCTGGTGTATCCTCGCTCTTTATGGGGTAGAACTTGAGAAACTTTAGATTTTTTAGGGCTTCCCGCCTCTCTTCGCCCATGTCCTCTATCGCCTTCTTGCGCTCCTCCCGCTCCTGGAGGAAAGGGGTTTCATACAAAAGAAAGAAGGAAAAAAAGGTGGCGTTCATTCTGGGGGGTCATCATATGGCAAACAACGAGGGGAGGGAGAGGGACCAGGAGCAGGGGAATCCTTCATACCATTTGAATCACACACACTGGAGCAGTTTCGGAATCATAAAGCAATGGTTGCTTGAGAGTTTCCAAAACAGCGGAACCAGCTGAACAAGCAAGCATAAATCATACGTGTAAGGTATGCGGTTACTTTGCTGCGTACCATCAAGGCTTGGTTGATTGGTATCTTACCAGCCACCTTGCCAGTAACCAACTACCCTTGCCTTTACCAGCTATTGCTGTCTGCAAATATAGACTGCGAATAGCTCTCCTTGCCTGTTACCACCTATCATTGCTGGTTACCAGGTAACACAGTCCACCACTAAGCCAGCAAGGATGCCTTCCCTATTTCTCTCACCTGCTTGGCCTTCAGCTTCGCCTCCTTCACCTCCTTCTTTACAAACTCCTGCAGGGAAGAGGAGAAACAACGGTGGACAGAAACAAAACGCATGCATTTGGTGTTTCAAAGCAGCCCCAGCTCTTTCGCCTTGCCTCCACCTCCTTCACCTCCTTGTTCACAAACTCCTGCACGGATGGACAACAAAGGGCGCACACGCAAGCAAAAAGCCTGCATTCAGACACAACCTCTCCAAGCAGCTCCAGCCTTGAGCCTAGTTCGTTTCAACTCCTCTGGCATGGCAAGTTATGGGATGAAATTGCAGAATAAAGGCATGGAGGCCAATCGCGCAGAGACAGCACACCACTGAGTGCTAAGAGACTGAGGTGTCAGTGCCTTACCGCCCTCCACTGCTGGCGGCACTCACAAGACTTGAGGCGCCCAGAAAATAAACCCTGCACTGCTGGCGCCACTCACAAGACTTGAGGCGCCCAGAAAATAAACCCTGCACTGCTGGCGGCACTCACAAGACTTGAGGCGCCCAGAAAATAAACCCTGCACCGCTGGCGCCACTCACAAGCCTGGAGGCGCCTAGAAAATAAACCCTGCACTGCTGGCGGCACTCACAATGAACTTCGCCTTCTCTGCCTCTGGCAGCGACTCCTCCTTGATGAGATTGTCCGTGAACTCCTGGGAGAGGGGGGGAAGGAGGGGGGGAGTGGGAGAGGGGGGGGAGAATGGGAGAGAAGGAAGGAAGATGGGGGAATGGGAGCCATGATGAGTCAGCGATCCCTCCTTGATGAGATTGTCCGTAAACTCCTGGGAGAGGGAGGGAGAGGAGGGGGAGGCGGCGTGGGAGAGAGCAGTGACCCCTCCTTGATGAGATCGTCCATCAAACGCCAACAAGTGCCACAGTTCTCTAGGCACCTCAGAACCCCCCCAACCCAAGCACACGGACGAAAGAGCACAGGCACATGCACATGCACGCACACAATTTCTGAGGGCTCCCAGAAGCCCCTCTCACCTCATACTCGTCAAGCTGCAAAACGACTTGGACCCGGTCAAAGTCTACCAGCTAGTGCCACGGTTTTTTTTAAGGCACCTCAACCCCCCCCAAAAAACACGCGCTCCTCAAAACCTCCCAAACACATGCCCAAAAGCACTCGCGCCCATGTGCAAACACAGAATCCCCCCCTTCACCTCTCACCTCATACTCATCGAATTCCCAGTCATAGTCCGCCAGCAACTGTTGAGCGGCAGGGAGGGTGAGGGAGCATGCGTGAAGAGTACGAGGGGGTGAGCTAGTGTGAGTGAATGGGAAGGGAGTGTGAGTGAGTGAGTGTGCGTGAAGGGGCAGTGCAGGAGAGGGCGGGGGGGGCAGAGGATGGGAGAGGACTGGAAGAGAGGAATGGGGGGAGGCGGAGGGTACGAGAGGAGAGAGGAGCCATGGGAAAGGTTGTTGGTTTAGAACGAGCCCACACGTGCACACAGCAGGAGTGCAACAAGGGGATGAAAAGGGGAAGCGAAACTGCGACAGCAAGAAAAGGACGGCTATTCTTGAGGCGCCTAAAAACTAGACCCCCCCCCACGCGCACACAACGGGAGTGCGACAAGGCGATGAAGAGGGAAGCAAAACAACGAGCAAGAGAAGGACAGCTGCCGTGCTTCAAGGCGCCTCAGAAGATCAAGAAAAAGGCTCACAAGGGAAGGTGAGGGAGTAAGGCAGGCGCTTACTGGGGGAGGTGGGTTCTCTCCTTCAAACGGGTACATGATTGAGACCACTGTATCCACCTCCTCCTGCTCCTGCATGTGAGGGAGGAAGATGTCTGGAGGAAGGAGGGCGGGGAGAAAAAACGGGGAAGGGGAGGGAATGGTGAGAGATAAGGATGATAGCAGGGGTTGGTACATGGGACCAGTGTATCCACCTCCTCCTGCTCCTGCATGTGAGGGAGGAAGATGTCTGTATGAAGGGGGAGGAAAAAGAGCGGGACAGAAGAAGCGAAAGAGAGCACTACTTAAGGGTGAGCACTACTTAAGGATGAGCACCTGATCGAGACCACAGTGTCTACCTTCTGCTTCTCCTGCTTGTATGCAAGGGGGAGAGGGGGGGGGGGGGGGGGGGAGTTTGGACGAAGCAAGGGAGGGAAACGAGGAGTGGTGATGATGGAAGGGGAATAGTAGGGGGGTACGCGATTGAGACCACAGTGTATGCCTCCTGCTGCTCCTGCATGTGAGGGAGGAAGATGAAAGGCGTGAAGAAGTAGAGGTGTGGAGGTGTGAAGGTAGGAGCTAATTCGGGAGCATGCACATGTACATGGAAAAACCGAGGGCAAGGATGCCATGGTTAGTGAGGAATCGCGACTACACATGGCAAGAATGCGTGTATGGCAAGCTGAACACACGGCAAGCTGAACACACGGCAAGCCAGGTAAAGAAAATCATGTGATCACCAGAACGCATTAACGAGCTTACATGGCAGGCAGTACTCGAACTTCTTCACCCGCTCTTGCTTCATCTGCCTCAAGCCCGCCCTGCAGCAACAAGCAGCAGAACCAGCGTGACAGTACAGCCGTGTTAGTCCATGACAGTACAGCCGTGTTTGTCCATGACAGCACAGCCGTGTTAGTCCATGACAGCACAGCCGTGTTAGTCCATGACAGCACAGCCGTGTTTGTCCATGACAGCACAGCCGTGTTGGTCCATGACAATACAGACAAACACTCGGAAGCATGTGTGTGTACAACATGCTTGGGTAAAGAAGGAAAGCGGCTGCTTGCTTGGGGACAAAAGCAGCTCGCTGAGTGCTACAGAATACCTGAGTGCGGGGAAAATTTACTCAGCGCTCAACAGGTATCAGAGTGAAAGGGCCTAGAAGTTTTGAGACGCCTCAGAAGGTGCTACACGGTTGAGAGCTCTGACTGCATCTCTCCCCGCCCATGACCTGCCTGAGTTAGCTCGACAGAATAGTACGCACTTAAGAGCTCACCTTCTTTGTATGCACTTGAGCGTGAAGATATCGGAGCGGTACCGCCTTAGGGACGTGCCTCGACTGCACAGAGGATATGACATGGGTAAGGAAAGGAAGGAGCAGATGGATGAAGAGAGGTTGAACGAAGTGCAACTCCACCCTAACACTCTTCCCCTTCAGCAAAGACCACCTCCCCTTACCTCCTCTCCCCTCCTCCCCTTTTCCCCCTTCCTTCCCTTCTTGTTACCTCCTATCCCCCCGTCCCCTCCCCTCCTCTCCGCTCCTTCCCCCTCCTCTCCCCTCCGCAGGTTCTTCTCACTCACCAATTATTCTGAATGAACGGAATCTAGTCCGCATCGGCACAAATATCTCTGTCTCCAGGTCCTACCCCCCTCCTCTCCTCCCTCCTCTCGTTCCGCCTCAGCCTCACCAGTCATCCGAGATGAACAGGATCAAGCCCATCCTCATCTCCCTCATTGGGACAGCCAATTCTGTCCTCATGCCCTACGCCGCTCTCCCCTCCCCCATCGCTTCACTCTCTCATCTCCCCCATGGGTCATCTCTGTTTCCAGGCGCTACCCCGCTCTCCCCTCCCTCATCGCTTCCCTCTCGCATCCCCCCATCAAACCAAGGTGTGTGACACCGACCTGTCATTAAAAATGAACGGAATCCAGACCATCTTCATCGCCCTCATCAGCACCATCATCTTTGTCCCCAGGTGCTACTCCCTCCTCTCGCCCTCCCCCGCGTCACTCGTCACCGTCTTCTGCGCTCTCACCTGTCATCTGGGATGATTGGAACCCAGCCCATATGCGTCTCCCTTATGGGCACACTCACGTGCCTTCCGATCTTGCACGCTCCTCTCCCCCTCCCCCTCGTCACCTTCTCCTCCCCTCTCCCCTCACCTGTCATCTGGGATAAAGGGATCCAGCCCATATGCATCTCCCTCATGGGCACACTCACGTGCCTTCCCATCTTGCACGCTCCTCTCCCCCTCCCCCCCTCGTCACCTTCCCCTCCCCTCTCACCTGTCGTCCGGGATATAGGGTATCCAGTCCATCTTCCTCTCCCGCATCGGCACGATCCTATTGGTCTCAGGGTCCTACCCCCTCTCCCCTCCCTCGATGCCTCACTCTCACATCCCCCCTCCCCTCTCACCTGTCATCCGGGATGTAGGGTATCCAGTCCATCTTCATCTCCCGCATTGGCACGATCATCTCGGTCTCCATCTGCACCGACTTGATGCCCAGCTTGTCTGAAGGAGCAAAGGGCGATAGCACCTGGGTGGAGGTTCGGGTGAGAAGCAGGGGAAGAGGGGGGAGCAGGGGTGAGTACAGGCAACGATCATCTCGGTCTCCATCTGCACCGACTTGATGCCCAGCTTGTCCGAGGGGGCGAATGGGGACAGCACCTGGTGGGGGTGCGGAGGGATTGGGCGAATGGCGAGGCGACAGCACCTGCGAGGGTAAGGAAGGGGGGACGAGGATAGGTCTTTGTCTCCAAACAGCCTGTCTGTCCCACAAGTATTTGTCTCCATCTGCTTGGCACCGATTCGATACTGGGCAAGTCCGAGGGGTCACAGAAGGATGGCACCTCTTCTTGAAAAGCCCCAAGTCAGGGTTCTGATCCTGAACCGTACGTTCAACCCCAACTCTAAACCGTACAGCACAACCTTTCATTTAAGCCGTATACCTAACCCTAACCCTAGACCTAGCCCTAAACCTCGACCCTAAACCCAGGAACATACCGCCACCACTGCTGGCACGTGAACCACTTTGTCCTTCCCCTTCCAGTGCACCAGCTGCGCTGAAATGATGGACAGGGTACAGGGATGGTGAATACAGGGATGGTGAATACAGGGATGGTGAATACAGGGATGGTGAATACAGGGATGGTGAATGGGTTGACGGAGGGGGAGAGGGTTTAAGGAGGATTGCGGAGGCGACTAATGGGGAGGGAAAAAGGAGGCATGGAATTCGTGAAAAGCACTTGGCATGTCGGGTGTATGAGGTGTACATGGGAGAAAATGACACTAGACTTGTAGGATCCAGATGTGGTTCTATTTCTTTCCACTGATTCAATCTTTTGACATGTTACTCTCAGAGTTTCAGCTCGCATGCTGCAGTGAGCACTTCACATCTGATGTCGCTTTAAGGGTTTCAACTCACGTTCTGTGCAGCCGAAGAGGTAGACCCGCTTGTTGTGCAGGGCCCCCCCTTCGTCAAACGCCTCCTGAATCGAGGAGCCAGAGAGTGTGTGGGAGAGGGTGTGTGTGGAGTGTGGGGGAGGGCGAGAGGAGAGAAAAAGGGGAAGGGGGGAGGGGGGAGGGGGGAGGGGGGGTTTGGAGGTCAATCTAGGGTTACAAGTGAGTTACACGATAAACTCACACGGTCAGGAGTATTTGGGAAGAATGTGAGTGTGCCGCATGAGTGTTCCCCGGGTACCTCAGGAATCCACAGGGAATTGAGCGGGATGTGCTTATATGGAGGATAGAATTGTGCTTACATCGAGGTTTGAGAAGTCCCACTCGATTTCGTACACTTTGTCGTATTGATCCCACTGCCAGGGCAAAGAGCACGAGCAGTGGGTAATGAGACACCCTGAATATGGAGTTGTGGCAGGAGAAGAACACTAGCATGCGAGCATGGAAGATGACGATATGTGCGAGTGTCGCATGGATTTGTTAGTAACATCACTTCGCAAAAAGGGGTGGATTTGTAGCGGATAAGAGTGCAGGATCGAGCTTGCAGCGAACCCATGTGAATTGGACATCGCCGGAAGGAAAAGGAAAGGGTTTCGAGTAGATGTATCAGGCTGCTTCTCAGACGTGAAGGCGAACATTGAAATATGGGGCGTGACAGCGGAAGAACAGAACCAGGGAGAGAGAGAAAAAAAAAAAAAAAAAAAAACAACAACAACAACAACAACCAACAACAACAACTAGATATGGTTTCGTCCCTAGAAGTAAGCGAAGTAAGCGAAGTAAGAGAAGAAAGCGAAGTGAGCGAAGTAAGCGAAGTGAGTGGAATGGGTACCTCTGTGCCCACTGGAAATGCCTCCTTCCAAAAGTCCTCCTGATAGAAGCGATGGAGCGGCAGCACACAGACGGAAAGCTCAGTTAAAATGAAATGACGGATTTGAAAGACGTTCGCTGGAAAACACGGCGATAAAAATGCTCGCTCGAAATCCCTGACCATCTCAACCACGAGGAAAGTATGGGCGAGTAAGCAGATACTTTGAAAACGGCAATGCCGCTCCCCGCCGCTGCACATTCGCAACAATGCGTTTTCGCGACGGCTAGTTTGAGCTCACCATCTCTTGTCACTGACGCTGTTGGAAGAGCGGGAGCGAAAACAGCCTTGATCGAACGGCAGTCAGGAACGGAGCGACACGGAACGAAGCCCGCGACGGAAGATCTCAAAGCCGTTGATCGAAATGTCGTCGTCAAGGCAAGGGTAAAACGCGGTCCTAGTCGAAACTGGCAAGGTATAGAAACGCGAGAACGAAAAGAAGAACTAACAGTGCAGACAGCCGACCGAGATGCAAGGGTCACCAGCGTTGGTGAGCCTGAAGGAGCAGTTCTGGTGAGCACCAGCCAGCGACCACTGGCTAGAGAGACCAGTGACCAGGCTTCTGCAAAAGCCTGGTCAGGTTTTGGCGGGGAAGCGAGGAAAAGCGCGAAACCTGAGATGTCAGAAGAACCCCCAACCTCGTTTCGCGATCACCCCCTGTTACGACCTAATCTGTTTTTACTCTACAAGACGTTCAGAAATCTCATCTCGCTTAATTCCTAGCTCTCTCTACACTTTCTCACATCTTTCTTTCTAGAATGGAGTGAATGAATGTTGTGCGTTGCTCTATGTCGGTATGGTTCTAGAGCCAATCATGAAACAAAAGAAATGACGCAATGCATAGGGAAAACTATACACATCATCTTGTATGATACATGGAAACTACTATATCACAACACATCGTACCAAAGCAGCCCATACAGTACCACATCTACATGAATCCACACAGCATATCGTCAACCTGGGGGTCTGCTATGCATACTACAGCTACCTACGGGCAAAACGATAAAAATCGAACAAAAAAAGCGTGCACTGCAGGATTTGAAGTGCACAATAGCTGCTGTTGTTGCTGCTAACACAAATGGTGCGCTGCCGCAATAGCACCAAGCCGGAGAAGCCGGGTTGGTGGAAAAGGTTGGCCAGCAAACAAATAGTGAAAGTCTGTTGAGAGATGACGGATTGCAGGGAGATGGCGAGATGCTTGATCGATGCCAAGGCGGGTTGCAGATGCCATCATGCCAGTGTGTCAGGCAATCCCACAGGCAGCAGTAGACTGTATTGCACCTGCAGCAGCACCTTGGCTGGGGGTGAGTGAGATGCTTGTGCTTGTGCTTGAGCTGCAGGGCCAGTAGGGACCCCAGCCCCCCAGATTGCAGCAAGCACAAGCACCAAGGAAGCACAAGCACCAAGGAAGAACAAGCACCAAGGAAGCACAAGCACCAATGGAGGAGCGGCTGGGTTGGGCGTGAGGTGCTTGTGGGGGAGGGGCTGGCCGGTGCGGGGGAAGGTGCGCTCGATGCTGCTGCGCTCGTACATGAACCTGTGGGAGTAGCAGCCCCTACTGCGCCTCTACCAAAGCGTGCAGCCCCTTCTGCCCCTGCAGCAGCACCTTGAGTGTGTGGTTGGGTGTGAGGTGCTTGTGGGGGAGCGGCTGCCCGGTGCGGAGGGTGGTGCGCTCGATGCTGCTGCGCCTCTGCGTGAACCTGTGGAGAGTAGCAGCCTCTACTGCCCCTGCAGCAAAGTAAGCAGCCCCTACTGCCCCTGCAGCAGCACCTTGAGCGTGTGGTTGGGTGTGAGGTGCTTGTGGGGGAGTGGCTGGCCGGTGCGTGGTGAGGTGGAGTGGGCGAGCAACCAGCGCTCGATGCTGCTGCGCTCGTACGTGAACCCGTCGGCTGCCACCACCGGGTCCGTCATGCGTTTCTGAGAGGGAAAGAAGGGTGATGGGAGCAATCAAAGGGACAACGGGAGAGGAAGAGGAATGCTGAATTGCTGCACTGTCATGTATTCTGCCCCCAAGGGGCACACGCACCACTCATCACCGCTTCCCCATCTCCCCCTCAGCCTTACAGGCAAGCCTAGGCAAACTAAGTTAACATGGCTAGAATGAGTCTCACATGCGACAGGGGGCACATGCACTGCTCGTCGAAGCTTCGTCTCCGCTTCCCCATCTCCCCCTCAGCGTCCTCCATCACCTCCCCCATGGCCGGCTGTACCACCTCCACCAGGCTCGGCCGAGCCTCCCGCTGCCGAACCACACACCGGAGCGCCAGCTCCGCCAGCTTCCGAGCCACAGGCACGGGCCACTGGCCCCCGGAAATGTCCAACTCCCTCACGATCTCATCAATAGTCCGCGCCAAAACCCTTGTACTGGCTGCCTCGGCTGACGGGCTCTGGCCCCAGGCATTACCCACCATGCCCTCTCCTCCCCCTACCCCAAACCCACCCATGCTCACGCCAATCCACTCCTGCATTCGCGCCAGTCTCCTATGGAGCTCTTTCACGTTGGGCTCCCCTAGGAGCAGCTGCAGCGCTATCAGCCCAAACGCATACACGTCAGACAGCACCGAGATCTCGCAGGTCTCTAGCTCCTCCGGGTCAATATACCCCACTGTGCCTCGCACCCGCGCGGTTATGTTCTCGACGTCGCTGAGTAACCGCGCAAGGCCCACGTCGCCCACCTTAGAGGAGAGGCTTGTATCGAGGAGGATGTTGTCGGGCTTTAAGTCGCGGTGTGCTATGGGGGGGTCGTTCTGGTGGAGGTACATCAGAGCTCCGGCCACCTCAGATAAGATTCTCACCCGGTCAAACCAAGTCAACGCCTTTCTGCCGCCCCTGCTGCTCCCCCCAACACTACCACCACCACCAGCACTGTTGCCCCCGCCAATGCTGCTGCTATTGCTACCGCTGCTAATGACAGCACCACCTAGGCTCGCTCCACCGGTGCTGCTGCTAAACCCATCACTGCTCATCCCACCACCCCTACTGCCCATGCCACTGCTATTCCCAGCAGCAATAGCATCAAGACAGTCCTGCAGGCTGCCCCCTGGCAGGTACTCATACACGAGGCACATCTCGTCGGGGCAGTGCCCCATGAGCAGCACTATGTGGGGGTGCCGCATCCTCGACAGAACTTCCACTTCCATGTGGTACTCTGCACTGCCCTGCCACCCGCCCCCTTCGAGTTTTTTCACTGCTACCATACATCCCAGCAACCGGCCCTTGTATACGGTTCCGAACGAGCCTCGCCCGAGCCTGTTGTCTGCCGCCCAGCTGTCCGTGGCTCGGGCGAGTTGGTCCGGGGAGAATTGCCGGCACTCCACTGCTGCTGGGGAGCCCCCTCCTCCAGCCTCGCCCCCCTGTGCCCCCCGGCTGTACCCTCTGCTGTTCCCTTGGCTGTTTCCTGCCAGCTGGGGGCCGTTCGGCGAGAAAGATATGGAGCCACTGCCACTGCCACTGCCGCTGCCGCTGCCGCTGCCCCCGCTGCTGCCTGTGCTGTGGCTCCCAGCTGCTGCAGTTGGCGGAGAGTCAGAACGGAAGATTTCGAACGAGGCTTCCAAAGTAGCACCAGGTGCAGAAATATCTGCCGCCAAAGCAGCAGCAGGGGCAGCAGCAGCAGCAGCAGGTGTGGCCGCAGCAGCAGGTGCACGAGGTCGTATGAGCGTCTCTCCCTCCTCCTCGCTGTCGTCATAAGCCGCCAGCTCGTCTTTCAGCGACATGAGGGATCCACTCCCACCGCCCACCACCCTCACAGACACAGATGCTCCTGCTGCTGCTGCTGCTGCTGCTGCTGCTTCTCCTTCTGCTGCCCTCCCTGCTCGTCTTTCATAAGACGCCAGTTCGTTTTTCAGCGACATGGAGGATCCACTCCCGCCCCCCACCGCCCTCACAAACGCAGATGCTCCTGTTGCTCCTGTTGCTGCTGCTGCTGCTGCTTCTCCGTCTGCAACCGTCCCTGCGCGTCTTTCATAAGCGGCCAGCTCATCTTTCAGCAACAGAAAGGATCCACTCCCACCTCTCACAGCCCTCACAGGCCCTGCTGCTGCTGCTGCTGCTCTGACAGGGGCCTGAGGGCAAAAACCAGACTTCGGCGATACCCTCGGGCCCTGTGCTCCTACTGCCTTATGCCCACCGCTGCTCCCCGTGCCGATGGGTGGCGGCTCATACTCAGGCATATGCTCTCCTCTGCCGGTCAGCGGTGCTGCTTTACTGCCTTGCCCCCCCCCTGCCCCTGCCCCCCCTGTAGACCCCTCGAGACTCGTTACTGCGTTGTAGGACTTGCTGCCTGCAGCAGGAGAGTCCCACGGGATGGGGGCGGGAGAGATGGGCACATGTCTGCTGTCGAAGGAGCTTCGGTTCAGTTTCGGGTTAAACTCGGATGAAGACCTCTGACTCTGGCTCTGTAGCCAGTCCGGGCTGTCATGAGAGGAGGAGAAGCGGATTCTTTGGGAGCCGAAGTTGGGGTAGGGGTTCAGCCGCGGGTCGGGTTTGCACCCCAGGTTGTTGGCCCATGCCGACTGGCCGAGCGGCTCCGCTGCTGCTGACGTGTCATTGCCTGCCCACGCGCTGGGTGCTGCCGCCGGCCCGCCAGCTGGCACCGCCGCCGCCAGGTCAGCTGCGGGGCAAATGCGTCTTGGTTGGCTGGACACGGAGATGTCTAGGGATCGGCGCGCAGTGAGGTCAGGTTGATGCTGTGGTGTGGGGGAGAGGGAGGAAAGACGAGTGAGAAAGGAAGAGGCTGAGGGGACGGAGATGTCTAGGGAGCGGTGCACAGTGAGGTCAGGTTGATGCTGTAATATGAGAGAGTGTGATGGAGAGAGGGAATACGAGGGAGGGGGGATGCGAGGGAGGGGGGATCCGAGGGAATGGAAGAAGGAGAGGAAACAGGAATGAGGAAAGAGCGACGGCCAGTGAGGACCGGCTGATGCTGCATTTAAAGGGTGAGGGGAGAGCAGGGGGGGGAGAGGGAGGGAGAGGGAGGGAGAGGGAGGGAGAGGGAGGGAGAGGGAGGGAGAGGGAGGGACAGGGAGGGAGAGGGAGGGAGAGGGAGGGAGAGGGAGGGAGAGGGAGGGAGAGGGAGGGAGAGGGAGGGAGAGGGAGGGAGAGGGAGGGAGAGGGAGGGAGAGGGAGGGAGAGGGAGGGAGAGGGAGGGAGAGGGAGGGAGAGGGAGGGAGAGGGAGGGAGAGGGAGGGAGAGGGAGGGAGAGGGAGGGAGAGGGAGGGAGAGGGAGGGAGAGGGAGGGAGAGGGAGGGAGAGGGAGGGAGAGGGAGAGAGAGGGAGGGAGAGGGAGGGAGAGGGAGCGGCACGGTATGTTTCAATAGTGGCGACCAGTGAGGAGCAGTGACAAGGGTGAAAGTAGCATTGATCGGATGCTGTGGTACAAAGGGTGCGCGGGAGCTTAGTTGCTACAAACGCGTTTGGCGTTTGAACGCTAGCGTTTAAACGCTAGCGTTTGAACGCTAAACGCTCGGCAGTGTGTATGTGAACGCTAGGCAAACGCTTGCCCGGGCAGGGGTAAAATTTTTACACGGGCAGGGGTTCAAGATTCCTGTGGGGGAGGGGGGAAACATGTGGGTTCTACCAGCAGGCATTTTGTCTCATAAAAAAGAACCGTGCTTAACATTTAAGCCAGCATCCTCATATGTCATGTAAATCACCTATCCTTAAGGCTATTCTCTAACGACAATCTCGTGTTTTTTTTTGGGCAGCCCGAAAAAAATCCCAGAGAGCGTTTGCGTTTTTGGGTGCGTTTGGCGTTTGCGTTCAAACGCAAGCGTTTGAACGCTAAACGGGTGTCTGCCAGAGCGTTTGTAGCAACTAAGCGCGGGAGAGAAAAAAGGCGAGGGAGCGGAGACGGAAATGTGTAAGGAACGGCGAGCAGCGAGATCCGATTGACACTGTGGTGTGAAGGCACGGGCGAGGGAGGGGAGACGGAAATCACTTTTGAGTCGACGCAAAAGACAGTTTGAGTCGACTCGAAGGACATTTTGATGCTGTGGTGTAAAGGCTAGGGAGAGGGAGAGGAGAGGGAGAGGAGAGGGAGAGGAGAGCGAGAGGAGAGGGAAATGAGTAACGAGCCGTGAGCAGCAGGGTTCGAGTGACGCTGTGGTGCAAAGAATGGGGAGAGAAGGAAACGACTTAAGGAGCGGCGACCAGTGAGGTCGCCGGGTTGACCATTCTGTGGTATGAATGGTGGGAAGGAGGGAGTGACGTATGAATGGTGGGAGGGAGTGACGTATGAATGGTGGGAGGGAGGGAGTGACGTATGAATGGTGGGAGGGAGTGACGTATGAATGGTGGGAGGGAGTGACGTATGAATGGTGGGAGGGAGTGACGTATGAATGGTGGGCGGGAGTGTCGACAGACGAGGGAGAGGAAGGGCCGTGGAGCATTTCACTAGCGGCGACCAGAGATCTAGTACGACGACCAACGATTTGACGGACGGGAGCGAGGAAAAGAGACAAGGAGAGGGGCGGGAGGGCGGCGGAGCGTTGCAATGACGCTTGAGAGGGTTGCAATGACGGCGCTTTTGAGAGGGAGGGAGACTCAAAAGAGAGGGAGGGAGAGGTAGGGCCGCGGAGCGTTTCAATAACGGCGACATGTGACGATGTAGTACGACAGACGATGTGACGCACGACAGACGATGTGACGCACGACAGACGATGTGGCGCACGACAGACGATGTGACGCACGACAGACGATGTGACGGACGGGAGCGAGGAAAAGCGAAGACGAGAGAGAGGCGAAGGAGAGAGGGCGAGGAGGAGGGTCGGGTAGTAAAGGCGTGCGTGCAGTAGGGGGGGTCGAATGGGTGCGTGGGGTGTTGCTTAGCCGTGTGCGTAGGGAGAGAGGGAGGGCCGCGGAGCGTTGCAATAACGGCGACACGTGACGATCTAGTGCGATGCGACTGACGACGTGACAGACCGGAGCGCGGGGTGCGTGCGTGCAGTAGGGGGGGTCGCATGAGTGCGTGGGGTGTTGCTTAGCCGTGTACGTATGTGCACCTCGCGTGTCAAATTTCTTTTCTTGTTTTCTTTTCCAGCTCGCTTGCAGCTTTTTGTTACGCTCATGCAACTTTCAAGACATAACCTTCGCATCAAAATATTTCCAGATTCATAGATAAGTCATTATCAGCAGAACAACTCCCTTTCAAATGACAAGATATGGAAAGAAAAAACAAGCGTGCCGAGAAAAAAAAGAAACAAAAAAAGGGCTGCTTACCGATGGAGAGGCTCTGGCCGACGGAAACAGCTGCGAGTCGTCGAAGACGTCGCCGCGTTTCCGTATGACGACCGGCTTTCCCGCCGAATGATGCACGTCGCTCTTCGGGTGCAAAGCGCCTCTACTTCTTGAACTCCTACTACTGCTACTGCTACTACTCGCACTACTACCAACAGCACTACTAGAGCTCGGGGACAAGGCGCTTTTCGGCGACACCCGGCTTTCTACCGACGAGCCTCCACCCCTTCCGGCCGTGCCAGGCCGCGCAGGCTCTCCCACAGCCGACCCGGCAGGAGGCGACGAGCGCGCGATGGGAACGACGCGAGACTCGTCGTCTAACGAGCCTGTTCTTATATGAACTATTTTCCGCGGCCCCTCTGGAGACAGTCCGACTGTCGTCCCTGTGATGCTATCGTCCATTAGGCCCCCCACGCGGGTCCATGGGGCGGGTGACACGGTCGTCATGATTAGCTTCAGCGGATTCTCACTTTTGTTGCGATGAAACAGATTCGCAGACGCGACTATGGTGCGAGTTACACGAAGAGATGCTAGTAGAGGTGGAGACGGGTGAGAATGTGCTACCTCTTCGGCGGCGCATAGTAGAAGGCGAAAGGTCTAAGGACGCCGCGAAGCATCATAACGTCCCGAGTTGGTGGAGGGGAACGATGCATTGAGAAAAGAGACTCCTGGACTAGAAGAAAACCAACTGGGGATGCCTGCCTGTCTGGTCAAGGAACAGATGAAACCGAGGGAGGTGAAGCACCGAGGACACTTTTTTAGTTTTGAGACCATCTGTCCCCAAAATCAGAAGCTTGTTTTGCAGTTTCGTTTGTATTCACCAGTTACGCTACACCGCCTGTGTTTGCTTTGCAGCTGCCGCGTTATGTCATGTCGATGGCGACGATTGCAAGATTGGCAGCACAAATCCTGATGCTGCCGCGGTCGTTACAAATTGCAAAGCGAGATCCCGCGCTGCTGGGAAGGGCAGGGCAGGGCACCTAGCCTAAATCAAGGGACAGATCCGTATCTCGCGAGATCTTATAAAGTGCGGTTCTCCGGGCCACGACAAGGTGCTGAGCAACGCAGCAGCTGTCAAGCATGGCTCCGCGCGATATTTTCCAGAGATGGTTGGACACCCTCTTTATATGAGTTTATTTAGGGTTCAATTCGTCTCCCGGTGTTACCCCCCCACATTTTGGCTGTTCCTGAAAGGACAAGAAGCATCCAGCAATGGCTCCTCCTGGCCCTACCCAGACAAAGGCTCGAACAAAGCTCATGGGGTTCGACGGACTTCTCGTCTGGAAGCCACACTAAGTATCCGAGCATGTTACTGACCTCAAACCTCAGTATTCTGAAATGGGAATTTCAGCGCTAATTACAGGAGCATTCCTCGTCAGGCTGGGGATGCGTAAAACGAGGGCAAATCAAACATGTTCCGTTGGACATCTGTGGTGCACAAACACCTTCATAACGGAGAGGTGTTTCCAGGCCTACCCTTAAAGCCCAGGTCCCAGATTAGAAAAACGAGTCAGGTCAACGCTGGTTGAGGCTCGGCAATGGTTGGGGATGAGGTCTGGTACTTTGGCGAATCCCCACTGTCGCGAAAACGATTTACGAAACCAAACCCAGGGTCGCGAAGGCACGGAACTCGCCAGGACGCTGCCTCAAACTATCCATGCAAGTTCCCACCCCACTACTTGACGAACAGTGGGAGGGGAATGCAATCGCAAACACCTCCACCGCAGGGCTTATTTTATCAGAGTAAATCACTCTGATTCAGGGGTTCGATAAGGCAAATACATACCGAACCTCGAACCTCAACCGACTTCATCAGCAACTTCCTGCGAACCTCCCCACCCCAACCAGCTCGTGATCGTTACTGTAATACGTACAGATATATATGAAATTAGAGTATAATTTTAAATCATTAGTTCTTTAGATCACGAAGATCTTGAGAGAATTTGGATGGCCTACATGCTCCTTCCCAACCCATCCAACTCATGCCGTATTTCTCCAGTGTTAACTCGAGCTGAAAATGATATAATATGGGAAAATTCGCCTCGCCAAACATGTTGAAATCGTAACATGATCTCCAAATATGTACGTATTACACATTTAAAATTGCGTATTGTGAACGTGAAGCTGCTTGTAATGCAATTTTGGGATCGTCGAAGCCCGCTATTCGCCCTTCTCGGACTATATAATGTGGTTGGAGGTCATTCTTCCTCCACCCACGTCTTTTCATTCTTCACAGCTCACGTCCAATTGAGTTCCCTGATAGAATGGAATGAAGACTAGAATAGGAGGGTACAAGGCAATATAGGCTAGTGTGTTGTACCCTTTAATGCACAAACTTGTATAGTCTATAGTAACAAACTAAGGTATATTTGACACACCCTCTAGACTATATAGGGGCAGAGCCTAAGCAGAGAACAAGCTGCTCAGGGCGGCACTACTAGTCCAGCCTCTGAGGCAAGGGTCTAAATACCAATCAAAAGGAGTACAGACAAGACAAGAGCAAGAACAAGACGGCACTACTAGTCCAGCCACTGAGAGAAGCCACAAGGCCAGTCTGGGTAATATATATATAAAAGTCTATACACAATCAAGGCCCTAGCAAATGAGAGGCTACAGGAACAACACCAAGCTGTACACAGTGCCGCTGATGATCTTTAGGCGCAAGCGCCTTCGTAAAGATATCAGCCGTGTTGGCATCCGAGGCCAAGTGTACTACGCGTGCTTGGTGACGCTGCTGCAGCTCGCGCAAGAGGAAGTACCGCAGCTGGATGTGCTTCGCTCTGCCCTCAAGTCGAGGCTCCTGACATAGGAGGATCATGGCCCTCTTGTCAGCGTACAGGACCGGGGCAGAGCTAGGCCGTTCACCTAAGTCAGTGAGCAAGAAGGTCAACCAGCGGAGCTCCTGTGCCGCCATGGCACCAGCATAGATCTCAGCCTCGCAGCTGGACTGGGCAACAGACGAGGAGCGGATAGCTCTCAACGAAAAAGCACCTGAACCAAGGCTAAAGCAGTAGCCCTGAGAGAACCTGAGAGTCTCTGCGTTGTCTGCCCAAGAAGCGTCTGTGTGCCCAGTATGGACCACTGGCCTGCGACCTCCCAGCACTAACATCATGCCCGATGTACTTGCAAGATAACGCAAAACCCTCTTAGCGGCAGACCAGTGCTGTGGTCGGTGTTTGCCTGTGGCTACAAAGCGAGCTAGGATGCTGAGAGGGTATACGAGATATGGGCGAGTGCAAGTCATCAGGTACATGAGGCAACCCACAAACAGGGCTGAGTACGCAGCGCAGCGTGTCGTGCCACTGACAGGGCGCGTGTTGCAGGCCATAGACTGGGCGCTGCAGGAGCCACTGGGTCCAAGGGGGGAAGGTACCAGTAAAGCCCTGCGGGCGGCGCAGGTAGACCTGCTCGTGTAGGCTGCCCTGAAGAAAAGCTGAGGAGAAGCCGAAGGAGTGCAACTCGTAGTCGCGCTGTGCTGCTACGTATAGCAGAGCCCGAAGAGTAGTCATCTTCGAGGTCCGCACGAAGGTATGAAAGAAGTCCATCCTTTCACGCTGACTGAAGCCTCTAGCCACGTAGCGCGCCTTGAACACAGACGGCTCTCTAGGGGGGCGCTTCACCTTGAAGAACCAGCGGACATCGACTACGTTCACCCCAGGTGGGGGAACTGCGTCGACGTAGGTGCCGGTGGATCTCCAAGATGCCATCTCCTGCTCCATGACAGCTATCCACTGAGAGGCCCAGGGTCCCGAGGTGGCCTCAGCGTAGGTGCGAGGGGTCGGGATGTCGAGGGCGTCTTGGTCACCCTCAGGGACTAGCAGCATGGAGCAGCGATGGGGAGCAGCCTAAAAAAGGAAAGCAAGCTCATACCGGCGGTCCTCCAAGATGTCACTGCCGAGGGCAGGAGCACCCCCGACGGATGGAGGCCAGGCAGGGTCAGAGACTAGAGCGGTGGTGTAGTCAAGGCGGCGGGTAGAGGCGAAGTCAGCGAGAGCAGCCACAAGAGCGTCAAGACGCGAAACAGGAACAGATGGGTCGGTAACGAGGGAGGCAAGGACCCGAGGAACAAGAGGACGAGCGGCTCGAAGATAGTCAGACAGAGGGGGAGGAGCGATGACAAGGGAGGATGGAGGAGGCGACAACAAGAGGGGAGGACGAGACACGTGGGAACGAAGCAACATAGGGTGAGAACGAGGAACAGGAGAGGTAGGACGAGCCCGAGAGGGACGGCGAGACCAGACATGAGACAAAGGCGTCGGGTCAGGAGACAGAGGAGGAGTAAGAGGAGGGGAACGAGGGGGAAGGCGAGCCGGAGACGAGTCCGGAGGGGGGAACACAGGGCCGAAAACAGGAAGAGGAGGGGACGGTAGAAGAGGGGGAGATGCACGGTCAGGGGAGGGAAGGCCCAGTAGGCGAAGGGCGGACATTGGTGGCGACTGCTGCTGCGGCGGCTGCACGACGCTGATACCTGGATCGCCAGCTGCTTCACGGCTACCTTCGGAACACTCCACTCCGTCATCCCTAGACGAAACACCCCTAGAACCAGAAGCTCGCTCCGCACCGGCACCACCCCAGGCCCGCCGGACCAAGCCACAACAGGAGCCCCAGGACTAGCACCCTCCTCAACACCAGCACCCCCAGAAGGCACAAACTTCTGCCGCGGCGTCGACAACAGTGGCGGCTACGGCAGCGGCGGCGGCGGCGACTGCAGCTGCGGCGGCGGCTGCGGTTGCGACGAAGGGCCACCAGAGTCAGCAGACTCCTCAACCAGGACAACCGACGGGAGGGGGGTAACGTGAGACACACCAGACGGGGTAGGGTGGGGAGGAGGGGGGGCAGGGGCAACCGGGGGAGGAGGGACCAGGAACAGGAGGGGGGGTAACCGGGGGACCACGGTGGGGAAAGCGGTGGTAGAAGGAGACGGACTCGTCAAAGGTGACGTCGCGAGAGTGAAAGAAACGGTGGGACAGGGGGTGGTAGAAGTGCCAGTCAGACGAGTCGAGGGGGAAACCTAGGAAGACACAGGGGAGTGTGCGGGCAGTGAGCTTGTGCGTGCCAGAGGCACGAACGTGGAAAAGGCAGCCCCAGACGTGGAACGCAGACGCGTCACCAGGAGATCCGGTCCAGAGGAGGGTCGGCGAAATCTGCGGCCGCTGAGGGTGCGGCCACAGGTTAAGCTAGTGAGCGGCGTAACGAACGGCGAACGGCCACAGAAAATGGGGTGCACTGGCATGGATCATGTAGGTACGAGCCACCCCTGTCACAGGATCGAATGTGTCGAGGAAAGGTTGCACTAACGATCAGTACAAGGTGCTTTTATATTTCCAAAGAACATCAGGTAACCAGGTTTATCTTATCCTAAGGAAATAGACCCTTATAGAAGATAGAATCACCCTGCGTATAGCCACGCGAAGCTATTGGCTTTAAGGGATTACGGCTGGATTACGCTAGATATAGCGCACCAGTACATCCTAAGCCTGGTCGGTGATATAACTATAATAGCAGGATAAACCAAAGGTGAATGGAAAATGGAGAAGAGGAAACCAAATGAGATGAGATAAAAAGAGAAATGAAAATAGGAAAAAGGGACAAGTGGTGTAACGGGGTCGTACTCTCACACTTCCCCCCCTTAAAGCTGGGTGGTAGAAGTAACACCCTGCTTGACAAGGTAGTCATGCAGAGGACGACGAGCGTTACCCATGTCGTACTCAGGGACCCAGCTGTC